TGTTTTGGGATTAATGTGTTCATCCTGCAAGACACTTGTCTCATGTAGATTTGGAGTGGTCAAGTAGCAGATAGGTGGTGTGTCACATGAGGCCTCATCTGGGACCATCATTTGTTGCTGAGGGTGTTTGTCCAGGGGTTAGAGGGCTACATTTCTTAGAACTCATTCACCACTAGACAATCCACTCAATGAACATGTACTGACCACTTACTGTGTATGTCCTAGACACTGGATTAGGCCTTGGGGATACAATAGAGAACAAAACAAATTTCCTGTCTTTGGACAAAGTCTTTTCTCTCCTAGTAACTCTTTCTAAAATGTCACCTAGACTTTCTTCCATTGTCTTATTGATAGAACATATGTTTCCAACTTGTACTATTATAAGCAAAAACTTGAGTTATAATTCTTACACATATGCTTTTGATTACACATGTAACATTTTCTCTATGTGAATAGCCAAGAAATGCTAGGTTTCACAAATAATGAGAATGAGAATGCTGGATGTTATATATCAAAGTCTTGATTCTTAACAAGCACTTTAAATATAGAAATACACATATTCCAATATTAAAGGAAATACACACAACATTAAGAAATGATAAGCACAGATTTTTAGAACAAAATATCTGGGCAATGTCACAAATTATGCTTACATGGAATCAAAATTCAGCTTGACATTGTGTTTAGAACATTTCTATCTATTTCCTCTAAATTGAAAAAAGCATAGCAAATAAAGTGTAATGGATGATATATGCTATTTTTACATCATGATGAGGCTGATGGAAATTCCCTAACGGTACACCAGGACATTGGTAATACAGAATAAGAGCTGTAGCATGAGGTGTGAGCTCTTAATGCCAAAGACACACACCGTTGATTGCTCCAACTTAATAAGCTTCATAAAAACTACATTCATGGTACTCTAGAGAAATATGTTGGTTTCTCAGTCCATGATTTTCCCAAAGGAAGTTGCACAACAAATTGAAAATGGTTTCAGGCACTTTTAATATGTAAGACATGATAGATCTCAGTGATTCTTACCCTTATTCATTAGATAGTATTAGGAAGAAGCAGAACATTAGAGTTTCCAGCAATAAGTGGTGAGTCTGATTACTGGGGATAAGTTTCTAGGAAGTAAGTAGTTGAAAAGTCATATATGGGAAACATTTAAGTGCAAAGAAGCATTTTCCAAGGGTGAGTAGTTTTGAAGCAAGTAACTGACCTATGCAGCATTTAATGTTCCCTCAAGACCTATGAAGTATCTAATATTCCCTCAAAGATTCACTTTAATTATTTGGCACTTTATATCTCAATATAAAGATTGAAGATCATTCTATACAATTTCGTAGTCTCTGTCTACATAGTATTTACTGGGGTCTTATTCTGATCCAGTCCCTGCTGGGAATGGTTATTCAAATGACAATTTGGTGATCTCAAAGAAAAGAGAGGTTCATTTAGCATCTTCATAAATAAAT